AATTAACCCTATAACGGTTCGCTAGCCAATAGCTTGCATTCGAATTTGAATTTGAATTCGTGAATTATATGATGCGGTCACTAAACACGGCACAAACAAATTTTCCCTGCCTGCCACATCTTGCCTGCCACACAGTGGCACTCCGAGAGTCAAAAGCGATCGAAAATTTGCCCCGAACACGTTTCTGAGCGAGCGGCTTTTGTTATCGAATGCAAAACTATTTAGCCATTGCATGTTGTTAATAATTTTAAAATCAGATTTCCGCAAGTTTGACGCAGACACGAAGCCCTGACGGGAGGAGTTTTTTACAGGCTTTTGTGGCAAGTTTTTGTAGTGACGTGTCCGTGTCTTGATTGCGGTTCCTGCCCTTAAAAGCAGCGCCAACTGCTACTTAAGGACGGCCTCTCCAGGAAAGCAGGGATTGCAGGGATTGCAGGGACTGCAGGCCTGGGATTGAAGCCGAGCTCCTGACAATTGTTGCGCAATTACACAGAAGACCTATGGGCACGCAACTTTTGGACGGTTTTGCGGTCCGGACTCCAGACCTCAAACTTAAACTTAAACTCCAACTTAAATTCAAATCCCAATCCAGGCTTAGGCTGAGGCCTAACTCACATCACGCCTCTGGATATCAAAAGTTGTTGAGATATTGCTGCTGTTTTGGTTGCAGAGAGGAAAAGGATTACCTTTACCTTGACTATCTTCTAATTTTTTAGAGTTTTGAAATAGATTAAACAATATTTTGAATTTTGTAAATTTTTTGGAAGGGTATTATAGTTGGAAGAAGTCGAAAAGTTGAAAACCAAACCTCAAACGTAACTTCTTTCTGTGTCTACTATTGCTACTGTTGCCGCCTTTGCTGTTCCAGTTGCCGCCTCAGTTGCTCCTGATCCTGATGTTGCTGCTGCTGTCCTCGGGTTCGTCCTCAATCACGCCATCGTCATCGCCATCGCCATGCACATGAACTACATTCAGTTCGGCTTACCCCACTCCTGCCCCCAGTCCTGCCTGGGTGCCTGGATGCCTGGATGCCTGTTTGGATGTTTCTGTTTCTGCAAAATCAATGTTGACGCAAATACGTGTATGTAGAATCATTTTGCCGACAGTTCAGACTTATTTCTTTCGCTACCGAATTTAATTGGATTTTCTCCCTGACTTAAGGGCTTTAACTGCTGTGGTATGTGGAAATCATTTCTGGCCCCAGTCCGGCAGCCGACACGCAATGCCCCTGCTCTCGTTCCTGCTGCCCCTCCTCTGGCCGAGATCCACTCGCTCATGTCGATGCAGTAGGATCCACTCTGGAGCGATTTGGAGTGCAGTAAAAACTCACTTAATTTAGCAACTGCGAAAAGTTAATCATTACATTCCGCAGTCGAGTCCTGTCAAGACATTATGGAGGAGCCCATGACTCAGCCCATGGCTCGCCGGGATTGCTATCTAAATCTGAGTGACAGACTCAACAAATGGATTACAGCCAAGGTATTAAAGGACTGAGATATCATAAGAGGTGTCAAAAATGCTTTTATATGGTGAATTCAATTAAAGACTCTGGGACCGACCAGGAAGTACTATCTCTGTAACTTTGCAATCGAGGGCAGTCGGAGTACCAAGATTAATTCGCTTTCGCGTTAGTCAGCTAAATTGTGGAACATTTAATATTTATATGCAAATGGGAAAAGCAACTACCTTGGCACCCAGGCAAAAAAAAGATACTTTAATAATTCTGGGCAAGCGCTCAACATTTCCGACCAACAAAAACAGAAACTTGAGCATATTTCCGTTGACTCCTTTTTGTAGTTACACTGATAAAAATATTAGGGCTGGTTTAATACAGTCTAAGATACAAATCAACTTTTTTTGGCCAACAGATTTCGCTTCTGTGTAAATTTTCCGAGGCGAAAGGCATAAGTGTAGTGTCTTTGGGAGGAAGACTAAGGGCCTATCGTCATGAAAGTTATTTTCTATTTGTTTGTTAACATTAAAAAATTCCGATTCTCTTTGGGGTCGGCGAAGAGTTCTGCCACAACGTTTCTTCACGGTTCACCAAATCGGCCTACACCCATTCCCCGTCCCGGCTACCATCCTATACCATTTACTGAGAAGCTATAGCCCCCGCCACGGTGGAAATCAGCATATGCATATGCCTACATGTGGGTAAACACCACCGCGTCGCTAACCACGGGCACAAAAACTCCGCCCGGCCTGAGCACTTCTTGTCTACATTGTTTGGAATATTTCCAGCCGGAAAACGGACAAACGGACAGCGGACATCGGACAGTGGCCGGGCGGACAGGCAAACAAAAACAGGAAGCGTGGCTACCACAAATATGCACGACAGGGCTGGGCTCGGCCCTCGGGGGCTGTAAGTTTTGGGCTTGGATGTGTAGATACTAGATCGTTATCTTGCCGGCAGCTTGGCTGGCCACTTTGCTGCCGAAATAATGGCGGCCGGCAGGCGTTAGCCGAGGCGGCCATAATTAATGCGCCCATCCCCGAAAAAAAGCCACACGAAACGCAATTAGAAGCAGCCACACAGTCCAACTTCCCTAATTCGATTCTAAAAGTATAGGAAGTTTATTAAAAAAGTTGAAGGGACTAGATCCCACTAAGTCCTCTGAATGAATAGACAAGAAATGTATTGTGGTCTCTATTATCCATGTATTGGATTACAACCTTTTAGTAAATTTAATATTTTATAAATTTTAAGATAATAAACTGAAACCTTAAAGAATTATAAATATGGAAAGTATGGCCCAGTTTTTGAAACATATTCAATAACTCCATGGAGGACTGTAGTCGCGGACATAATTTGAGTCGATTGGGAGGGTTCATTTGAGCCCCGTCGGGCGGTTCGTTAGATACAGTGATAAATGTTTAATTAGCCGCGTTATTAATCTAATCAATCATCCGGGCCCCAAATCAATCAGGCGGGGGCAGCGGGGCTGCCTAATTCCTCTGGTTAACATCCGAGTGGGGGCTGAATGAATGGACGCCCCCCACTCCCCACGGGAGCTTGGGTCGTTGCCACTGCTTGAGTTTTCAAAGTCCCCTCTCATTGGCTGGCTGCCGACCTTGTGGTACACCTGAGAGTAAAGGGGATGGCTGGTGGAGCTGGTGGTGCGCAGGCCCGCCTTTCACTCGCACTCACTCAATTCTCGAACGAGTTTGAGTCCGGCTTGAATGCACTCAGTGGTATTATGTAAGGTGAGTCGAAAGCAATGCGCAGGTATCACCCTCTCTCTCTCGGTCTCTTTCTTTGGGCCTTTCTCTCGCTCACTTGACATCTAAATGTTTTTAGTTTTTTAGTGGAAGCAACTTTTGCTTAGTTTTTTTTTTTATCAGCATAAATAAATTAATGTGACGGCCGTTTTGGAGGAGTTCTGGACTGGCTTTAAGTTGCCATTATTCTACGAGTGTGAGTGTCTGGTGGCACTTTGAATGGCAGAAGTTTTGCCTTTTAATCTTTGAATCATTGTTATTTTGCTTTCGCAAATTATAGGCCATTAAAATTGATTATTTTTCATTATCAGTGTGGGAGGTTTCCGAATGGCACTGCCAATTACCACACCCCACCGCCGCCCCCTTTTCGAGCCCGAGACGCACACACACACACACACAGACGGACAGTGGGTACTTGGCGGCCATTACATGGCTCCTGATTTCTGTAATTCAGCCAACCAGCGACGCCTGCCTCGAGAGTGATGCAGTGGGGTGGAGTGGAGGGGAGTGCAGAATAAATCAATTAGCCGACGCCAACGAGCCATCTCCACTTACACAGTCTCCCCTGTCACTCTTCTCGCTTGCTCCTTTGTGCGCAGGCTCGCACTCTGCTGCCCTCCCTTTCGCACTAATCAGGGGGGAGACCTTGGGGGGAGTTGGCCGCAACGAGTGGAGTTGCCTCCGACGCGGATTCATTGGCTTCTCGTCCGGCCAAGTCAGTAAAGTCCGACACAGTCCAGCATAATGCGTTTTTTGCAGAATAAGTCAAGGAACAAGAACCTAGAGTCTTGTCATTAAGATTAAGGTATTTTATAAAATTCTTATATTATAATATATATCTTATTATATAATACATATAACTTATATTTTCCAGTGCAGTAAATCAACTGATGAATGATTGAAAGCCTTCTGGTGTTGGAATTTCCATAAAAACTTTTCCCAGACACTTTTTTGTCGAAAACACAATCGGTTGAAAGCAACTGGTAGCTCTGGCCCCAAAGTTTGATAAACAATACCTGAAATCGAATGCCCGAGTAATTAATTATTGAACTTTTACAACTGTTTGTCGGTTTTGGGGCTTGGGGTTTCTTGGCAGCCGTTTGTGGCTCTCATTTGGCCAGCGAAGCGCTCAATTGTGCGACGCTCAAAATGAACTAATACTACTCACACTCGCGCATCCCGATCCCCAGAATGCTCAACCACAACCACAGGCAAACCAGAATGCAGCAGCAACACGAGCAGGCAACGCCAAAGCAGCACCACAAGCCCAGAGCAACCCGATCCGAGGCGGCAAACTGTGGCGAAGCCGGTGGCTCGGCTCAGTCTCATTCAGCGAGTCGCGGCGGGCGTTGAGTCGGATTGAGTGGAGTCCGAGTCCGATCCAGGTACGTGGTTACGAGTGCGAGTGCGGTGCGCGTCGAGTCAGCGAGCAGCAACATCAGCGGCAGCCACCGTTGGCGGTTCCGGTCCGCCCGAAGAAAACACTCTCCTCCACTTCGAAAACCAATAAGCCGTCGGAAAGCAGGCCCTAAAAATGCCGCCTTTTTAACCGACAACCCTTACTATTGAATGTGAATCCTACCAATTGCTCATTGCGTGGCATGGAAACCTCGACATCGCCAGGCCCCGCAAGGACAACCAACAAGCTCAGCACAGCATCACCGGCCACCTCTGCCACGTCGCCGGGATCCCCGGCAGCCATCATGCCCATGGCGGTGCCGATGCCGTCGCATCTGTAACTTTTGGGTAGCTCGGCAGGAGGTGTCGTCCAGCCGACGGCAATGTCACCCATTTCACCCACGGCGGCTCCCACAGGTGAGTGTTGTTACCTTTGGTACTTACCTCAGTTTAAATGCAAGGAAGGATATCCTTTTAGATAATAGGAGTAATATCAAGTCTGTGGTTTACATGACTTGTTTCATGCCTCATATGCTTATGTTGCTTACGTGACTTACCTTGTTGATAAATGAGATACTATTATATTATTCAGATATTTTACATTAATTTTAGCTGAATAATATCTTCAATTTCCACTCTAATCCTTGATGATCCTTCACCTCGTAGCCATTACTAACCTCAGATTATGAGTAGCCACCAATTTTATTCCCAAATGCCGGGGATATTGCTTCAGTTGTTGGTGTTGCTGCTGCTCCGGCTGCATGCCCCATAAGAGCGAAAAGTCTGGGGCGAAATTCCGTGAACTGACAGGGATATCTCGCAGGCCCGAAACAGTATTTAAAACAAAAGCCAGCCATCCAGCCAGCCAGCCATCCAGCCACCACAAGAAACTGGTGGCACTAGTCCAAATGCCTGCTGAAAAAGTGCAATGATTTGGAAATTTCACAACAGCAACACTGCAGCAGCAACAGCGGCAGCAACAGCAACATTTGTGGCAACTGTTTTGGTCTTTCGCACATCAGTGGCAATTTGTTTTGCACAAGTATGGGTTGTCAAATAAAATTAGTTCACGTCGGCGGCCATCGAGTGTATCTGCAAGATACACACAGTGTCCCGGACGGGAAGGTGGTGGGAGTGGAGGCTAGGGGGCGAGCAAAGCTTTGACTTGTCTCTAGAAGGTGTTGGAAGTTGCACAATAAATAAATAATTATAAAAGGAGGCCCAGAGCAAAAGCCAGAGAGAAAGAGAGGGTTAAAAAAAAAACGTATACGGAGACACCAACCGGGGACGGAGGACCGACCAGGCGATGGAGGAGAGGTCGGGTACATGGCATACATTGAAGTTTAAGCATAGGGCAGAAACCATACTTAGGGGTCTCAGGTTACGTGGTGCGTGTATTCACATTATTCTTAGAAAGCCAAGCGTATAGAAGGTGTGCACAATGATTTTGAAGAGTGCCCCGACTGGGTTAAGTTCGACTTGGTTTGCTTCGAAGAGGTGCTTTGAAGAGTAGGAACTCCTCACCATTGCTCTTCCGTTGCAGCCCAGATGGAAGACGCCAATGATATCTTAATCGTAGCTCCAAGCCTTAAATATAGTTTCCACCCTGTGCCCTATGGAATCCTTAAACTATCTGCCCTATGGAATCCTTAAACCCATGATACTTAAAGACCATTTGAAGCAAATATTAAGGTATTTGCATAATCTCTGTAAAAAGAATGCGTGAAAAACCAAATACGCACAATAAAATCCAACAAAAACTGGCATCAAATTAGACAGGCTGGAGGAGGCGAGGTGGCAGCCATCTCGGGAAGCTTAGGAAAATGTGCGAAGATCGCCGTAATGCGCACTGGCAGTAAAAACCAGAAGCTTCGGGGACGAGTAATGCGCTGCGCGCGACAAACAAGATCAGCGAGCCCTATCCTGGAGGCTGGAACGGGGGCATGTGGTTAAGGTCTTGAGATGGGAATGGGAATCAGGTTGGAGATGCGTTGAGGAGCCGCACAAAAAGCGAGCAACTTTAATTTATATGCAGTGCCAGGGATCGGGGGGACAACAAGGAGTCTGGACGGCAACAAGGGGCCAAGGGGGAGGCTGTGGCAAAAAGTTACCGGTAGCAATAAATCAAACTATCAATTGAATTCCGAGGCGATCATCACTTGTGGCGAGCTGCGATCCCGATTCCGATCCCGAGTCGAGCTTCAGCTCTCCGAATGGCATCGCCTCTTGTTATAAGTCTCACGGTGACATGCGAGTGGATGCACTAAGAGAAATAATGGGAGCTACTTAAAATAAGCTACTAAGATAATATGGGGGTTAATGATAAAGGTGTATAGGATACTATAGAGTATCGAATTTCTAAAAGGGTAAATAATCTAGAGTTATATAACTTTCTTTAAGAAAAAACCTCATATTTTTTGCCAATGTGTGAGATCGGCAAAGAAAAAAAGGGTTTCCGACCATGGTTCTCCAGCGATTTTAAGCCGCTTTCGCAATTGACTGAGGCGCATCGCGGGGCAGTCGGAGCTGTCGCATTTCGTAGTAAATCATCGGTCGATCCGCTCGGACTTTTAACATACAACCAGCATCTGGATGTCTTGAACTGGGTACTGAGCTCGAGACACTGGGGCAATCCGGAGGCACTGAGCGCTGTTGACATCCCGGCAGCGGCGGCATAAATCAGCCAAGTGGCCATAACCACAACAATTGGTGCAACTAGCGATTGCAGCAAATTGCCGCAACAGCCACTTCTAAAGCGGAGTGCAAGTCCCATCTGCATGGGCTTTAATTAGCCAGGGATCGGAGATCGGGGGATGGGGGATCGAGGATCGGGGTCGGACTCTGAGGCACTTTGAAACCCGATGGCATGCCGTCGCCACACACGGAGCTCGTTCGCACCAAAAAAGAGGTGTTAAAATGTGTGCAGTTCTCGCGATCAGATAAAATGTCAAAACGAACATAAAAGCTTCTACATCCGAGGAATGGCCAATTGCTGCCACATCGCTGACAAGTGATCTCCCGATCGCCCGATTGTCCCGATTGCGAGATTCCCAATCCCGGGCCCAACAAATTGCCGGCGAGAATTTCATAAATTCCGACTGGAATCAGTAGCTGGCACTTGGTGGCAGTGGCAGTGGCAGTGGAGGCTAATGGACCACACCGCGTCCATTATGCCCATAAACGTTGACACTTCCGCCACTGATGGCAGTTCCAGACTCTACCACTGGCTGTGGCTTTAACTCTGGCTCTGACATCGTCGATCAGAAACACACCGAAATTTGTCCGACCATCTCATTGTTTCATTCGGCCTCGGTCTCCCCCCAAATCCTGATGATCAGGCTACAAATTTCTTGGTGTTTCTGTGTCACGCGCGGAATGCCGGCAACAGCTTCGTTTAAATTCCAATTGACGTTTAATGATTTTGCGACCAAACACTGGGAGAAACAAGAGGATTTTGGGGTAGACTTTCTTTTCTTTACTTAATAATATTACCATGTTCTATAATTTCAGTTCTTGCCCCAGCGCACAGTCTAAGTCCCTCCACGCCCATTCTGGCCCAGGGAACACCACCTGCCCCAGCATTGGGTGGACTCTTTTGTGGAGGCAACCCGGCTCCAAGTGGAATGGGAGGAGTAGGAGCAGGAGCAGGGCCCGGGTCAGCAGCTGCTGCTGCAGCCACAAATCTCAATGCCCTGGCCTCCCAGCACAGACTACTGGAGTTGTCCCGGTTTGGACTGAGAGGATACGACCTGGCCCAGCACATGCTGTCCCAGCAAGGAGCAGTGTCCAAGCTGTTAGGTAAGTTCATTGGGAAATCTCCAATAGAATTAGGGAATAGGAGGCAGGGAAATGTAGTGCAACGTGGTCCAGACCACCCTGACCAATGCAATCAGCCACATAATGCGGAACCACAAAACACGCGCCCCAAATGCAATCGCCAAGTGTCCCCAAGCGTCCCAATCGATTTGCACGGCGAGCCGTGTTGTGGGGTCACGTAAACACGACAAATCGATTGGCAATCGCCTTCGCCCCCACCTGCACCTGGGCGCCCCACCTCCTGCCCCCGCCTGTTCCGCTCCTCCAGGAAGTCTGCTTCGGCTGGAGCACACCTGTTGCCACCTGTGGGCCCCGACACTTGGCCATGTCATTCTCGATTTGCCTACTTGAGAGCCTCGAATTGCTAATGTGATTTGCAAGCCTGCATGTTGGCCAGGAAATGCACGCTTAGAAGACATTTGGGTTAGATTCTTTTAAAGCGAAATATATGATGTAACTATAGAACCAGTGTAGAGTTTAGAACCCGGCTCCCCCTCCACTGATTGAATAGATTTTGTGAATAAATCTGCCCATTCACAAATACCCGATAGCGTAACATTAAATCGCACCCACAGATCTCTGGGGATGCCATTCATTTCCATTCCAGTCAATTTAAATTGTGTAAATAATTTCCGTTTTGCACAAAAAGCGACAAGACAAATGTGTACGAGTGCGAGTACACTGAGTCTATTCATTAGTTCGAGCCACCAGACTGCACTGCGGCGAGCTCAGCTGGATGGGGTTCAGCATAATTAAAATCAATGATAATAAATTCGCCATTCAAAATCGAATTAATGGCATGGCCGCATGAGCCGGCTAATCCCCATTTGCCCCTTGCCGGAGATGCCCAACGGATTTTCTCCGGGTGTAATCTAGCCACGACAGCGCTCAATTTACAAGATAAACGCGCGCGCCTGTCAACCGCTTCCGACGAATTATCATTTGAGCCGCGTCTGTGAGCCCGAATGCCAGTCTGAATCCGCCGAGTCCGAGTCTGACTCGAGTCTGGCTCCACTGATGTTGTCAAATATTCAAATTAGCGCTCCCCTGAATGGACGCCGGGCTGCTGCCGGTCGCTTAATTGTCTAGTTAGTTAGTCAACAGGTAGCACAGGTAGCGAACACAATGCAATGCGGCCGGAGGGCTTTTGACCTATTCGAAACGCCCACACGGCCCCACTGTCTCACCCCGTCCCGGAGGAGGGCCGGTGGAGGCTTTGAACAATGTGAAAATTATGCGAGTCGCACAATACCAAGCCCTAGCCCAAGGCATTCCATTTGGGGATAGCCGTAGCCGGAGCCAAAGCCGAACCCGAAGCCGGAGAAAAGCCCCGTCCCATCGATTGCACAACTGGAAATAGTGGTATTTGGAGGCTGTTTTGTGCCCAAGCTAGTGGCTTACTCATGAGCTTAGCTCCTAATTTGGCCAATAACACTAACAAGCAGGTGGATGTATTAATAAATTTTTATTAGTTAATTACAAGCTTTGAATAATGGCACTTGTTAGTCGGAGAAGGGTTTTGAATATACCAATTTCAATTCATAAACTCTTTTTCTTTGCAGGCACTCTGAGACCTCCTGGCCTAATAGGAGGCTCCAAGCCCAAAGTGGCCACCCCAACAGTAGTCTCCAAAATCGAGCAGTACAAGCGCGAGAACCCGACCATCTTCGCGTGGGAAATCCGGGAGCGACTGATCACCGAAGGTAAGAAAACAATGAGATCAATTGGGGGCAGGAATCGATTGGCATTGGGAAGCCGAGATGGCCAAGCATCCACAGGGGGACAGGCTAATTAACTGACAGGGAACCCCCGAAAGCGAAATTGCCCAACAAATGACAACGGTCGCGACAAGAGTCTGGCTCGGTCCTGACTAAGCGAATCTTCCTCAGAGACCCTGGATGGACCCTCCTCATGAGCCAAGTCTCCTCCTCATTGGGAGATTGACAGGAGAGGAACTGGGGTGGATCGGCTATCTGGGGGATTGATGTGTTTATGGTGCTCGTAATGCGAAGCCAGCCTGCCTCAGCCTGCCTCATTTAATGTTGTAAGAATCGCTGGAATCAGCAGGATATATTGTTCCACGGCGGCGGCAGATTTAGATTTATCGATTGGCTAATTTATGAACATCCGCTGCGAGTCGTCCGATTGATATGTAAATGTGCTCACATTTGTGTCACTCATTTTGGGTTCTTCCCTCCCCGTTCATGGCTGGAAGAATTGGAAGATAATCGCTGCCAGAATGGGAGCCAGCAAGTAGTCCGCTCTGCGGCAGCAACCAGTTCATCAGTTGGATCTCTGGCTGGTTCCTGGCTGACAGTTGCTCGTGGGCTGGGATGCTGGACACTGGACACTCAAGGGGAACGAGAAGTCAGACCAGGAGGCAGTCGGTTCGCATTGCCCGGTGCAATGAATCCTCAAGATAGCCATCTCCCGCATGAGACGCACGAACACACACACTGGCCCACTGATCCCAATCGCTCCTCTCATTACAGTCAATCTTGAGCTCATTTCGGCGGGGTCACCTTCCTCAGGTCATGACGTTCAGCATCCGGTTAGGAAAAGAAGAAACATTTTCTTCCCATTTTCATATTCTTCTCATTAAAAAAAACAATGGTTTAGTTTACAGGTTGACTAAGAAGCTAAAATCTTTCCTCGTTCCAGGTGTATGCACCAATGCCACCGCTCCCTCCGTAAGCAGCATAAATAGAATCCTACGGAATAGAGCGGCGGAACGGGCGGCGGCGGAGTTTGCCCGAGCAGCCAGCTACGGCTACGCAATGCATCCCACCCACCCTCACCCGTACACCAGTTTTCCCACCTGGCCAACGCATCATCCGCTGTGGAGTGCCGTGCCCCTGCCCGCCGGAACGGGAGCACCGACCTCGGGGGTAGGTGGCTTGCCGCCTGGAAGCAGCAGTGGCTATGGCAGCGAAGGAAACGTCAGCTCGAATCCCAACAGCAACGGCAACAACAACACCAATAGCGGTAGTGTCTGCGGGGATAGCAGTGCGGGCAGTGGACGGTTCTCCTTGCCGGCCCTTTCTCCCGACTCCGGAAGCAGGGACAGTCGATCGCCGGATGGGGAAGCAAACAGGATGATAGGTGAGTTTGTCGAAAAAAGGGTTTAAGATGGAAACTAATATGAAATTTCCATTGCAGACATCGAGGGCGAGGACAGCGAGTCGCAGGACAGCGATCAGCCAAAGTTCCGGCGGAACAGGACTACCTTCAGCCCGGAGCAGCTGGACGAGCTGGAGAAGGAGTTCGAAAAGTCGCACTATCCGTGCGTCAGCACCCGCGAGAAGCTGGCCGGTAGGACCGCCCTCAGCGAGGCGAGGGTTCAGGTGAGTTCTGGTTGATGCCGCCGACGAATCCTCCCCAGCAATTTCCCCCTCCCTCCTACTAACCACTTGTCGGAGCATGCTTCGACCTTGACACGACACAGATCGATCCCACGGCTCTTTTTTTTATGGACTAACCAATTGTCTCTTCACCGATTGATCAACCAGGTTTGGTTTTCCAACAGACGAGCGAAATGGCGGCGCCATCAGCGGGTCAACTTGCTCAAGCAGCGCGACTCGCCCTCGACCTCGAGCTCACCCACGCCGGCTTTCGCCGGGGCTCCGGCGGCCAGCAAAGCTCCGGCTCCGGCTCCGGCTCAGGCCCAGCTTCCGGAATCTGGCCACCACCCACTCCAGGCGATCAGTTCCCAGTTTACCAATCCCGGGGCCTACTACCACACCAGCAGTTCCACCTGTCCCCCAGCCACTATGCCAGCCTGCAACAGTCGCGCGGAAGAGCCCCAGGCATCGGCCCAGCCACCGCTGGTGACTCCACCAACAGCAGCACCCCTGGCAGCGGCCCTGCTGCCTGCCTCAACCACAGCATCAGCTCCATTATCAATGGGCGGTGAGAACAGCGCCTTCCGCAGCCTGCCCATGCCCATGCCCATGTCGATGTCCATGCCCCCCGCCTCGGCGGCGGCCTTCGCTCTGACCTTTGCCCGCCAGTACATAGCCAAGTACATGGCCTCGCCCATGAATCTGGGGGGACGGGCCAACCCGGAGGAGCACTCCGAAGAGGAGCCGGTGGACGAAGAGGACGAGGTCATAAACGTGGAGCACGACGCCGAGTGATCTTACTTTATTTTATTTTTTTACTCCGGAGGCACCGCTCCCGAGTCGCTTTAAATCGAGAATTTAGTGCAATTTTTAACTTAATTTATTCAGTTTCTACTATGTATGTATGTATATCCGAACCGCGTGCTGAGTACAAATAAAAATTGAAAATTGAAAAATCAAAAGAATCAGAATCGAAATCAGAAGAATGAGATGCGTGCGATAAGTTCTCACGAGGTTCGTATAATTGGTTTGGAAGTGTCAGGGAGATCTGAGGGGGACCTGGGGCTTTTCGAAAACAACTCAAGTGGACAAATCTGACAATTTTGTGGCTACCAAAAGCAGCAAAGTCAGAAGAAAGAAGTGAAGAGCCACTGGCACAGGCTCCAGAGTCTTCAGAGTCTCCAGAGCCTCAAGTACCTCAGGCAGGCGGAGAAGGGGACTCACTCCGTAGGGGCATGGGATCTGGTGGAATCTGCTGGGATATCTGCTGGAGCTGAAGCTGAAGCTAAAGCTGTAGCTGTAGCTGGAGCCGGGTGATTAATGTGGCTTTAATTACATGCGCTGTCCTCGTTTTTGTCGTCAATGTGTATGCTCGGATGGATCACTATAATTATATAGATGGCCGAATTAAATTTTAATTTAACGCCTGTCAAATCAGAAAACCACTTCCATAATCGTTCGCACTCGAGAGCCCCGAAATCCATTCGCCCCATACAGATCCACGGGGGCAGCCCCCGAAAACAGTTATTCATATTCACATTGAATACGATCGATGATCGGTGGAATCAATCGAACTATGCGCCAGCCGCTATTCTGCCACTTTTTATTGATTGTAATGAGCCACCGAAGGCGTCAACTCCAGCGTCGATCGGTGATGAAAGAAAGACGCCTGCCTGGCCTGCCTTCCTGCCAGCCAGGGGAATGCGAAACAATTAAAAAATATAAACCCCGATATTCCCCAATACAAAGCCCGGGTACCTGCGGCTTTCGATGAGTTGTCGAAATGGATTGCGCCACGAGGAAAGGGCTACACCGGACAAAATTGAATTAAAAACCTATTTAGCATGAGCTGGTTTAAGTGTGGAATTTTCTTTACATTCTTAAGGAGCTCTTTCCATAAAGAAAGTCAGATGATGGTTTTGAATCAGACTATTATTTCTCCTGATTCAGATTAAATGTTAATATTTTTAGTGCCATCCAAGTAGATATTGTTTTACCGTCTTTGTGAAAAACATGGCGCTTTGGGGTCATATGTCGCCCTAGCTTTCCAGTATGAGGGAATGGGATTTGGGGGACTGAACTAAACCAACTAAAACTGGCTGCATATCATCATCTGAGTGTCTGAGGCCGCATCCTTGTGCCGATCCGTGGCCTGTACCTGTTAATTGCCAAAGGCGTTAGTATTAAGTGGTTTTCGTGCTTATTATAAATATCTCTTAATTTTCGCCATCCCCACGATATGTGACCGAGTGTGTATGTGTGTGAGTCGCTAAATCTTGAAATGGCAATCACCGACTGAAGACTGAAGAGCCAGTCGCCAGTCTCCAGGCTTCCAACTTGCCAAGTTGCCAACTAAAGGCAGCCATGTGGACTCTCTGCTGCAATCCCTGTCGTCTGCTTTGTTGTCATTATGTTGTGTTATTTGGCACGATTTGTTAAGGCTAAGGAGCAGGAATGGCTCTGGAACCGGGACTGAGCCAGCTCCAGTCCAGGGGCGAAGTCTGCCAGGGATTCTAACTTAGTTCTTAGTTCAAACTTAAAAGATCTATTAAAACTATTTTTAATAAGCTAAAGTAAAAGTGTATGTTCAAATATATAAAAATATATGAAGTATTTTTATAGAAGATAAGAAACCCCATAGATCCCTCCTGGTTACTCCCCTGATTTTTTGGTGGACTCCGTTGCTGCTGAAGGCTGTGCGCGGTTGCATGATGCTGCCGATCGATTGGGCCCGAATCGATCAGAGCGGCCAGGAGCGGCACCAGGAATGGCCAAAGCAGTAGCCGATGACTAGCCCTAGTCCTCGCCCCTTGGTCGGTGCCCCTCCAACCCCTAATCTTTGAGAGAGTTGCCGCTTTCGACCATGAGAGCGGGAGCCAAACTGGCGTCGCAAACAGCACACACAGGGCACATAATTGTCGCATGCAAGATCGCGGCCATCGACATCGGCATTGACAAGCTCCACTCTTGGGGAGGGGGAGGAGGTGGAGGAGCTCTGGTCCGGGAGGAGCTGGAGAAGGGTTGCTCTCGACAGCAGGACATGAAAGGTAACGCATTGCTGCGACCAGGAGAATAAGTAATTCACTTAACGCTTTAATATCGCTGATAAATACAGACCAATCTGCATCGTCCTCCTCCTCCTCCGGGGACTCTAAGCCCCTTACATTTCCACTTAATTGGTGCAATTTCGAACGATTTTATTTCATTCGCCTGCGTTTCGTTTAGTTTTTTCTTTTTATTTTCATTTAGATCTTTGGTTCTTCCGCGGAGAGATCACCTGTGCCTGCGCAGACTTTGTGGCTGCGGCGTGCGAACAGTCTGCTCATTTGCATAAATTCAAATTCATTTGCACGGCAATGGGGCTATGGGACTTGGATTGGACTCCAAATGGGAAAGGGAAATGCGACTACGAGTCGAGCATTGTTTTGCACGTGTTGACAAGTTGCCAAGGGGACTTACAAGATCGAGTATGGGAAGGGGACCGGATGCTTCGATGATAAAATGCTCATCCTCTCCAGAGTCCGCCAAAAGCCACATTTTCAGTTTTCTGTTTTCAGTTTTGAGGGCCAACCGACGACGTCTATGCGAGTTTAATGCAAGCCTAAGCCTATAATTTGATCGTATCCACACAATAACTCAGAGTCCGGACCCAAACCTGAACCCGAAATGGACCTGGAGTGCAAAATGCCCAGTGGCGCTCTTGGGGGCGTGGCACACCGCCGAGCAAGAGCAGTGACAGACCCGATAATGGATGCGCAGCAATGCCATTTCTGGCAGATCGGGGAGTGTACAGCGGCTTCTGATAAGACCACCAGCGGGTTAACACTCAGAAAATGGAGTTTAGATTACAGTCTACCATAAGAGGTAATAAAAAAGTCAGAAAAATGATTATAAAATTAGTTAATTATTCAGTATTTTATCATTTAAAGACTACTATGATTTATTGAAGAAAAACCTTTTCAATTTAAATTTTTTAAATAAATATTTTAATGTGCATCGAATCCAGAGAATCTGCAGAAGGACAAGTAGTTGTTGAAAGCGTCGAGCGAGTGCCCAGCCAGGAACGCCCGACTCACTCCGGGCGAGGAGGAGACCCTTCCTCTGGCCAGGGGATGGATGAATCGATCGAATCGATCGGATTACCCGGCAGGCTTTTCAATTCAACACATCCTCCGGTCGCCTGGGCAATTATATGCTCGAATCTGCTCCAACCGATCCAGCCCGGCCACGCCTCCTTGGGCGTGCGGCGCAAATTATAATCTGCTGACTGAAATAAATGCGCGAGTTTGGAAATTGAAAAGGAATTAGTGGTGGGCAGGTGGGCAGGCAGCCGATCTGCAGAAATATTGTGCATAATTATATGCTAATCCGGCATTGAGTTATGTCTGCTCGTGTGTGTGGTCACTTACCCCAGGAGGAGGGGGATCTAGAGACCGATCTAGGGAGGGAAAATGGTTTCTTGCAGGGCGGCGCCTGATTCCATAACTGGGAATCCCCCGACCCCACTATATATTCTACGGCGGTGGCCCAGTCCCCCCCGCGGTCTGTTTGCATTGAAGTCGCTCATGTAAGTAATTTCCTACTCCAAGATTTCCCAAATTCAAATCCGAAAGCCACCGACGACCACCAGTAGGAGATTGATTACTGTTACGAGTGTGATAAATCGCTGTTTTTATTAACTTTTTCGGCGTGACGCGGCGGAATTGGCCTGCATCGTCCCTCGGAAGACGCCGGCGGATGAATAACCCCGATCTGGGAATCAGATCAGCGTGATAATGTATAATTTGTTGGAGTGTTATGCTCTGCCCAAAACAAAGGCATGCTATCCAATAAAGGTAATTGAATTTGTCCAGAGGAGAAGGTACATTTCTGCAATGCTTCACAGGTAGAACAGTGACCCACTGGCCAGTAGATTGGCCAATATTACAAATTATTTTTTAGATTTTTCGTCAATTTTTCCAGGGGGTCCCCTTCAAAATTTTAAAAACTGCAGAAAATCACATTATGTCTCACAGCGAAGCCCATATCTTGGCCAATATTCATCCGATTCTTAAACGGAATACCTTAAGCGATTCGCGGATTGATTCTCCATAAAACTGCATCAAAATCTGGAAACAAATTATTTTTTAGATTTTTCATCAATTGGGTCCTAGTGGGTCCCCTTCAAAATTTTGAAAAGTGCAGAAAATGACATTATGTCCCACAGCGAAGCCCATATCTTGGCCAATATTCATCCGATTCTTGAGCGGAATACCTTAAGCGATTCGCGGATCGATTCTCCATAAAACTGCATCAAAATCTGGAAACAAATTATTTTTTAGATTTTTCGTCAATTTTCCTAGGGGGTCCCCTTCAAAATTTTGAAAAATGCAAAAAATAACCTTCGTAACTTTTTCAAAAAAAATTTTATAGATTCTTGTTCTATATATATTTTTCAAAATTTGTATTGCGCGCTTTCTTCAGCGTTGCCAGGCTTCGCTCCAATTTAATCGTCTGTAAACCACCATTATATCGATATATTGATAGCTCGATATATTTGCAACAACCCTAACAACAACAAAAAAGACTTCCAAGTGGACACGCTTAACCGTTTTTTTTTTTTTGCCAATTTGCCATTATTCTGGGCTGGAGCTACCCCAAGAACCCAAAACATCTGTTAAATGTTTAGTCAAGTGACTGCTGCTATTTGTGTTTTGATACGGCAACTGAGAGGCTGCGGAGTGGGAATCCTCGGTTAGCTCTTGGAGATTGCACGAAAATCAGCGCCAGCGTCAGCAAAAGTCTCAGAGCGACTTCGTATCAGCTGCGGAACTGAACCGAGAGTTGGGCAATCGCCACCCACAAATCAAATACGTCCAATCCTTAGCGAATTGTTGGCATGGCCAGTCCCAGAACGCGTAGGGTGCTCCAGGAGCTGAAGCCGCAGGACGAAAATTCGGTGGGTTTCAACAGATTGCAGAAAAAGTATTTTTTATAACTTTCCACATTATTGCCCATCAGAAATGCTTTGAGTGTGGCACCCACAATCCGCAGTGGGTGTCCGTGACCTATGGCATTTGGATCTGCCTGGAGTGCTCCGGGAAGCACCGCAGCTTGGGCGTTCATTTGTCCTTTGTGCGTTCGGTGACGATGGACAAGTGGAAGGACATTGAGCTGGAGAAAATGAAGGCCGGTGGTAATCGCAATGCCCGGGAGTTCCTTGAGGATCAGGCGGACTGGAACGATCGAGCCCCAATCACCCAACGTTACAACTCCAAGGCAGCGGCTCTTTACCGAGACAAGATCTCCACCTTGGCCCAGGGCAAGAGCTGGGATCAGAAGGAGGCGGAGGTGCGGCTGAGCAGCTCCAACAGCTTTAGCAGCGGTGGGGGCTCTAGCTCCACCCAGTCGCGACCCAGTGCAACAGGTTATGGAGGAAACGCTACGAGCGGTGGAGGCTATCAGAATGGTGGTGGAGGGAGTGGCGACCTTGGAGGCTATCAGCAGTACCAGACCCAGGAGTTTAAGGATCAAAAAGAGGAGTTCTTCAATAGGCGTCAAGTAGAGAATGCTTCTAGACCAGAGTAAGAGACGGTTGTGTGTTCTTTGTGTCCAAGTGATAAGATTAATATGGGTTCTTTGTTCCAGCCACTTGCCACCGAGTCAGGGCGGAAAATATGCAGGTTTCGGGTTCACTCGCGAGCCCCCACCAAAAACGCAATCTCAGGAGCTCTTCGACTCGACCCTGTCCACCTTGGCTTCCGGTTGGAGTATCTTTTCCTCTAATGCCTCTAAATTGGCCAACACGGCAAAGGAGAAAGCAGTAACCACAGTCAATTTGGCCTCAACAAAGGTGGGTTTTATTAAATTTGTTGGTAGTTCGAGAATGGCTTGATTTATTTTAAGTAAATTTATTTAAATTTTTATCTTTTAGTCTCATTTATGTACTTAGATTCTAGTTTGCTGTTTACACATTATTTAGTATTATTTATTTTTGCTTTTATTTTGTATTTTGTTGTAGATTAAAGAAGGCACGTTGCTAGATTCTGTTCAGAGTGGTGTCACAGATGTGGCCTCCAAGGTCTGTAGTGTCGCTAGACTGTTCCTTACCTTTATTTTAATGAATATTTCGTTTGATTTCTCTTAGGTCACCGATATGAGCAAGCGTGGATGGAACAACTTGGCGGGAAGTAACATTTCTTCCCCCCAGGGCGGTTACAACGATCCTAATTTCGATGACAGCGCCTACCAGCGCTCCAATTCCGTGGGCGGCAATCTCGCCAGTGGACTGGGCCAGCAGAGCGGCGTGAGCGACAGCGACTGGGGTGGCTGGCAGCATGAGAACGCTGGAAACAAGACGCATCTGACTAGCTCCAGCTCGTATCACAATCAGTTGAGCAGCAACAGCGGAACGGCCACTGCTGGCGTGACCAACGATGCCGACTGGTCGGGCTTCGAGTCGTCAAACTACCAGAGCTCAGAGACCTCTTACCAGAACGCCCCGTCCGGTGGAGCAACTACACGGCGAAACATGAAGCTGCAGGACACGTCGGCCAAGCTGAGTGAGGGCTTCGAGAACCTGGACGTGAAGAATGTCAAATCCAAACCAGGATCGACCGGCGGCGGCAACAAGGCTAGCGCCGAGGACGATGCCTGGAACCTGTTGATGAACTAGATGGCCGAACAATTCCACAGATTGCATCTTGTATTCCCCTCAGTTCGTTGTGTTTCATTTGTTATGTGTCTTTTCATGTGAGGCGGCGAAGGCTGTTGTGCGCGCATTTAAAATGTAATTAACTGAATGTATATTCCCAAGAACTATCCGAAAGCTACGATTTCATACAAAAAAGTGCAACACTGCTCCAAAATTCAATTCCACAGTTTAGACCAATTTTTGTATAGAACTACTTAACGAATAATTTAGTTTAAAATATATAAACAGCATTCTGCAGATTGAGAGGAGAGAAAATACATATGTTAAAAAGTATTATTTTTGTGTTTATTCTAGATGCTGACCCAAATTTTTAAATCAAAAGTTTAAACCTCCTCGAACCAGAATCTGGTTGCAAACGAACTCGAACATGGGCCTCACAGGGAACTATCGATAAGCTTTTAGTATTTTTAATACTGCGATATAAAATACATTTTTGATACTAAAATATCGATAGGAACAACCCCAACCGCTCATCTCTATGGATTTTAAATTGAATATTCTTCCGACCAAAATTCGTGCCACCTTAAACACTTGAAAAGCAACTGAAGAGCTCAAGTCATAGCTGGCCGCCGACCGTCTACCCTACATCCAATAGAAAAGGTAATCCATCGCAGGACCTTCGACATTTTAGGTCCTCGTAGAGGAATTTCTTTTGCATATCCAATTCCGTATCCATTTGCGTGCGTGTGTGTGTGAGTGCCTGAAAATCGACGGCTGCAGAATTATTTTTGCCAAATTGGCAAGAATCGCGAGCAATTTGCCAGAAATTTGAGTTGTTGCCGGCTGGAAAAGTACGATGAATTGCAAGGAGTGGCCGAGAAAGTGGTCTTCGTCTAGCATTTCTGCATAATAAGCTGGGTTTAAAAGTAGAAAGTTCGAGTTTGTCGCTGGGGGAAACTCTCCCTTTTTCCCCATCCCCGCCGCTTTGCTTTTTGGGCCATGTGCGTGTGCGTGAAGCTGGTTCAAGGTTTTCCGGAAATGCGCTCGCGGCCTTCAGCTGCTAGAAAGCTGCTGCTTTGAAAATCAATGGACATTCCTAAATGCGAGGACAGTAGCCAAGCGGACTAAGCTCACACCCTTCGGAGAAATCCAGCATCGGATGACTTCACCCAGGCAGCCGGTGAAACTTAATATCCACCATTTGTTTGTTTATTGCTCCCCAGACGGTCTCGAACTAACATAAACAATTTACTAATGCCGTGCCAGGCGTCTGACTGTTTTTCCAGGTATTTTCGATCGGACACCCAAAATGTGCCGGCCATAGGAGGAGCTACAAAACTCAAACCGCATTCAACTCCGCCCGCAGTCTCCAGTTGGATAGCCACTATCAAAGTAACCCCAAAAATCCATCGCCGACGGTCCTTCGCAGAAAACTCGAGATAAACCGTAAACACGAGTCTAGAGAATGGTCAGAAAGCAAGTCGGACTCGAAAACAGCGCATCCCTAGCAGTAAGCCAGCAGCAGCAGGAGGAGCAAAAGGATAATAAGCAGCAGAAGCACCAGGTGCAGGATCAGCAGATCGATACTGACTTAAGCCAAAGGAGCAGTCCCAACTACGCCAAGCAGGCGCAGGCCATCTACGCGCCGTTGCATCCTTCGCTCGCCACCTTGTCCACCGGCTATGACCATGGCAGCTCGCGGCTCTTTAGTCTACAGCATACGCACATCGCCACGATGCCCTACAATCTGCACTCGGTGTCGCCCCAAAACATGGTCGCCACCGCCGGCCAGGCCATCCTGCCCACGGAGATACCCATCGAGGACGAGGAACGGCTGGAGCGCATATTTAAGCAGCTGGACCGCGACGGCGACGGACGGATCGACATCCACGACCTGTCGGCGGCGCTGCACGAGTTCGGGATGTCGAGTGTCTACGCTGAGGTGAGCAGGGGGATCTGGGAACGAGACGGCGAACGTGAATAGCATAAGTTATGTGCATGTGCCACATGTGCCCGCCCGGGTCTTGCAAAGCTTTTGTTCCGCTTTTCTTTAGAAAGCAGCTGACACATAAGATCAATAATATGCGGCCTTGACGGCCGAACGTATCTGAGAATCTTAATTTATACAATGTATATTATTGCTGTAGAATGCCCTGATCTGGGCAAACAATTTATCTTAACCCTTTGCTTATCCTTCAGATAAAATCTACATGTCGCTGAAAATAGCCTATTATTGCCAAGGCTATTGAAATTCTCCCTTATTTATTTATTAGAAAGTAAACACCCCGATGGTTTCCATTAGTTTTTCTGATATTCTAATTTCACAACCAAGAGAAAGCAATCAGAAATGGATTAGCTGACCCACAGAGGGTTAATGTGCAGACAAGTGTCGAGATTTTTATGGTTTCCGCTGGCGAAGCCCTCTGGATACGACAAATTGATTTGTTTTTAATGATTGCGGTCGATTCTGGCAGTCAATGTCTGGCCACATTTCAGTAATATTCCTTTGGCGAAAGTACTAGTAAAATTCCGCACCTATTCCACGTTTCAGAAATTCCTCCAACAGTCCGACAAGGATCAGAGTGGCAACGTGGGCTTTGCCGAGTTCATGCACTACGTCAGGGAGCACGAGAAGAACCTTGTACTGCAGTTCTCGCACTTAGACAAGAACCGAGATGGTGAGTTTATTAATTTTCATTTAAAACGAATGGTATCTGAGATATAATTTCAGGGAAAGTGGACTTGGAGGAGCTGATTTCCGCTTTCAAAGACCTGGGCCTGGACATTGACATAGACGAGGCGAGGAAACTACTCACCAGGTAGGAGTTTTGTCTTTTTTCGAGCGGCCTTTTGAATTTTAAAGAATATTATCTATAATACAGAATGGATAAGGACGGAAGCCTGAACATTAGCTTTAACGAGTGGCGCGACTTTATGCTCCTTGCGCCATCAACGGACATCCACGACTTGATTAAATTTTGGCGTCACTCTACTGTGAGTTATGAGCACAATCTGTACTCCCCCAAAGTGTAGTGGTTTGTGCAAGTTTTTAAGTTTGGCTTTAAGTTTATTGTTCCCTCCTAGCCATGTACATACGTTTAGTTCCTTTGTAGCTGTTTAACGTTATCGTATTTGAAACTAATAATTGACTACTTTTACCCTCTTATCCTCGCCAATAACTGAAAACAATATCAAACATACCAACCACACCACCCACATACGATCCAAAACTATGTATGTCAATGTAGTACCTACACCCACACTACTCCTGACTAACTGAGGAAGATCTGAAGGTACATATCCGCCAAGTTAACATATTACGATTTACAAAAAAAAAAATCATTTAAAAATATTGCTATAGTCCCTCACAAGTAGTCGAAGGGCACGGGAAGTACAATCGCTCCGAACCAGAACACACCCATCCCACCCACCGTCAGCGGCTTTATCATTAGTTCCATATTTTAATCAGTCACCCATTGTAGTGCCTGCATGTGTTTGGTTTTCGTTTCATTGTATTCAGTCTACTAGTATTACCTTCACCCGAAAGAAAATTCCTATCGGACAGCGAAGAGACGGAGCTTTTGATATAATGACTGGGTTTCTCTTAGTCGCGCTCTTAGCCCGTGGACTTACTGACGTAAACGTTAAGCTGATTTCATCAGACAGTTTAAAAAAACCCGATTAGGGGAAGTCACTTATTTTGATATCATATCGGGATGGGTTTCGCATTCTCATAAAGATCCAGCAGTTTTTTTAAGGTGCACAGCGAAAAAAGATGGAATGGATTCCTAATGGAATCAATATTTATAGTATGAGGGAGGGATTGCTCTCTATGGTAGAAAGTTTTTATAATTTCTCTTAGTTTAAAACTTAACTTACCTCAATTGTGTTTTAGTTTATTAGCTTTTTATCCAATGACCAGTGCAAATGACGCTCCCAGTGGCCTGCGTAATCATTTTGTTTACGTTCATCATCTTGTGGGCTCTGTCCTCGCTATAGCCCACCATTTATATCAATTCCATGTAACTGGGAAATCACATTCTGTATACTTGGAGGCCTGTAGGTTCCACTCACCGATCGCAGTCTGGAACAACTTTTTAAAATTCCAGCTTATCGGTCGCCGGGTGGGTTTTTGTGTTTTTTGTGTGCAGACCTGAAATGTTTAAGGTCAACCGGTGGCTCGGGGATTGTCGTCAAGCAGCCGCAGTGGGAAGCGATGCCCCCAGGGCGTTGTGAACCGACTGGGCAGGTCCCGTTCTGTTTCTATTTATAGCCATGCTGGCAAGGATACAGGTTCGGAATACGTTCCGCGGTCTGCATTAGCCTAATGATGGGAGCTGGGCTGGCCGAGGCCTGCGCACTAACTGGGCTTTAATTAAGTTTGTGGCTATAATTAAATTGCCTCCACTATGATGATTGATTCGCCCAGAGATTGAACGCATATACGCGCCGATAAGCCTCCGAGCCTGCACTTGGACATTTATATTTGCCTTGTCGTTGTTGGGTTGCAAAAATAGAAAATATTTACACCGATTCCGCGAATAAATGTGATTACTTGGCCAAAGTTCGCTGTCTAGCCGAGACGCAGTTCAGAAGTCTGCGTTCGATTTGGATCCGGATCCACTCAAAGTAACATATAGTAGTTGTAACTAGTTAAATATTGTATAAGATTTGGGTGCATGTAACCAAAAGTTTTGAGTGCGGACTTGGAACCTGGTTGGATGGCTAATGGTTGCATGACTCTGCGATCATGTAATCCAAGTGTTTCGGGAGAACACTGCAGGGTTCGAAATTGTATTTTTTATTATTAGTGGCTTTTGTCGGTAATTTAAGACCGATGGGGGCTCGTTAAGTAGGCAATTGAGTAGCACCCGTTGCATTTAACCACAATAGGCGGTTATTGGGCGTCGTAAATTAATTCCACTGGTTAAGGTATCACTCGGCAGGGGCCTGCCCTAGAAAGTGGGGTGTGTCCTCAGCGGGCCTTGGCTTATCTCCATGATAGTCCGGATGCCAGGAGATGACAAGCTTATTTTTCTAATTTATTTTTTAATCGACGTGATAAGCGCGTGCCATTTATTTTTTTTGCGTTTTGAGTTAAAATCGGAATGTGTTTTCTGTTGACAACACTCGGAGAGTGATCCCGAACCTTGTGGTCTGTGCTCTGTGGTCTCCTGATAAGTCCGGACCCATATACTGTGACGTAGGTCCTGTAATAAAATGAGAAAAGTTTCCGCCGGGTGTAAACAAATAGTGTCGGTTGTGCTGCAGACGCTCTACGCTCTGGAGGGCAGCGTCATCCCGGCGAGGAGCTAATAAAGTCACACGCCCGTCATGTGGCTATCAGACCCTTGAGAGGTGCGAAGTCGGCTATAACCGGTTCGGCATGCGAAAAGTCACTTTCGTGATAAAGAATCAAACTTGTAAACAAAAACAGGCAATCGAAAAAGCCAAAAGTCTGGCCTCAAGATGATAATTGTGGGTAGTTCCCGATACCCCTCAGAGTAAAGCAGCTTTTGATCGACTAGTCACATAGAAAAACACATTTAGACTTACCTAAAAAGTATATTTTTTTGATAAAAAATTGCAATGGGAAAAAATTCCAGCCCAGGTGTTGGAAGGGGATTGCAGATCCAATTGTAAGCTGGTTCTGCTAGCTTACAAATTGTAGATTCAAGAAAAATGGCTTGAACTCCGAGCCGGGTGGCTATCCTGCTCAGACTGAAGTAACACCGCCGCCAAGATGACCTCCCAAAGCGGGTATGTGGAGGATCCAACTGCGGTAAGGCATTCTGAGTCGAAGGGCTGTCGACAGGGCCCAGGCTATGATAACTAATTGGGGTATGGGGTATGGGGGCTCTGGTCTGTGGCAGGGGTTGCCCCGAGGCCGCACACGCCACCATGGCAAGAGGAGGGGGTGAGCGCCGCCGCGAAAGAGGAAGGCAGATGCGAAAAGCCCACAACGGCTACGATGGTGCACTTTGCTCCGCGAGGAGACGCCGTATCGCGAAGCTTCGGAGCGATCGCTCTCGGGTTTCCAATCGCTCGCGCCGAGTCGCGAGTGGCGACCGCCAGCCGCGGAATTCAGTCTTCTGTCAGCTGGCTCCCGCGATGGTTGTGCGCGCGTGAAACCCCCAAGCCCCAAATTATAATTTGAAATCGCCTCCCCACTGGAGCGTAGTTATATAATTGAGCTTCGAGCGTTGTCTCTCTTTGTGAGCAGTGAGCTGCAAGTGTAAATAAAATTGCAATCAAGCGCTGAAGCGAGTCGACCAAAGTCTAGCCGCGTTTTAAGGCCACAGAATAAATAATTTAATATTGAAAAGAGCCAAAAACAAGATATTTTGTAACAACGGCTCGCAGTGAAAGTTGCAATTGTGTGTTCGGACAGTGAAAGCCACATTCCGGCGCCAAAACTAGCGTAACGGAAACGAATAACCCGGAGTTTCGGATCGGAAGTGGTGGTGCAGTTGAACCAAATCCAGACAAGATGCTGCGAAATAGCACCTACCAGTACAATCTGCCAGTCGATTACCACAACATCCAGCAAATGGCAGTTGCTGGCGACATGATGGAGGATTTCGTGGTCATATTCCGTGACATGATGGGACGGGTAGGTTGACTACGACGACGACGAGCCTCTTTAATGGCCTTTGTTGAGGCATACACTACTCATCCATGAGTCCACTCTCAACTCTCATAACCCAATGCAGCGGAAGCTGACTCACTTCCCAATTATTTGCTATATGGCTGCGATTGTGTATCTTATCGTCTGCGGTTTTTCCTGGAAATTCACAGTTGAGGTTTAGGATCGGGGAGTCTGCCACGTTAAGGAACATATTTTCAGATGCTTTTTTTTTTACGGGCCTCTAAAAATAATACTCGAAATGGCAGCACCTCAATTTCCCTTCGCAGCTGTTGCAATTGTTCGCCTGCACTTGTACTTACACAATGCGGAATGCTTAATGTCTCGCTTCGATTTGGTTTTGGCTTTCGAGTTTAGGTTGCCCCACGGGCCCCTAGCAACAGCGCGATCGTTGGCGCGCTGAAGCGAGCTCCGGCGGGTGACGGGATCGGGTGCTGATATGGAACCGGTCCGTGCCTCCGCTCCCCGCTGGCTTCCACCGATTTTTAGCGATCGACGATGAAGACGACATACTTAGTGCGGCGCGTGGTGTCTCTCTGCTGGCTACTCTCTGGCTCTTCTAGTTTTTGGTTGCCAACCAGTCGTCATGCTTCTGCTCTTGGCCAACAGTGCGTATGTGTAATATGTGGACGCCTTCGAGGCGACTGAGTCAGCGCCTTTGACCCCTCCCTCGGCCCTGTAGTTGGCAAGCTGGTCAAGCCCCCACGATTTCTGTGACGTCAACAGTTTTCTCTCTTTTTATACGAACCTGTTGATATTTATATTACACGGCTGTTTACTGGGTAGCACAAAATTCCCCCAATGACGTCTACCAGCGAGTTCTACGTACATGAGTCAAGTTCATCAGTCGGTCGATGATCCACTCCCCAATGCTACATATCTTGAAAACCCCCGACCGACTTCTTGGGCAGCTCCCTTGGCCCCGTTTGCCTTCATGTCTGGTCGGTTGATTGACCATTCAAGCGATGGCTAACCTTGGAGCATTGTATTAATGATAGTAAGGGCCTTGCTATCATCTATGAATGCACCAAGGTGGGTTAACTTGGTTAAGACCCCTGTCCTTTCACGGTCGTTTCCACGTCTGTGCGCCAAAATTCACGGTTGTTATAAATAGCCCAGATTGTCTATTAAAAAGCTCTTCGCAGTCATGTGCCTCTCGACGATTATATACATTATATATATGCATACATATGTGAATGAATCTCGGAAATGATAAATTCCATCAGCAATGACGATGCATTAAGCGGCCAATTTACATTTCCATGGAACTTTTTCCACTGGATTAATATTCAATTTTGTTAATTGTCCGGCGAATGGTGCTACCCATGTGATTGCCATTTGCTAATTAGATGGACAAACTCAGCTCCATGATCGATCTTGGGATTCAGAGATCTTCTCACGTCTGGAGGGAACAAAGGTTACTTTTCCCAAAAAAAAAATAATTGTCACAAACACGCAAAATGATTTGGCACATCCCCGAGCAGAAGGCGGATGCTGGCATTTCTGGTTATATCTTGTATCTCCCGAATAGATAAACAAAACACTTTACAGCTCTCGTTATCGTTTGAATTAAATTTGATTCAATGCCATCCAGCTCGGGAGCGGGAAAGTGTAATAACCTGCTCGAATTCCCCTTAGAAAGTCTGTAATATTCAATCGAATTAGTTCATTCGCGAAAGCTTCGGGAATCACAAGACCCCCGTGATAATAGGAATTGTTATCAATTTCAGACAGCTTTCCAGCAATCAGTAATTCGTTTTAAATCTCCATCGAAAGCCACAAAGCTGAGCAATTCAAAGAAACAAATAATATTCGAGTTCATTGAGCAAAAGTAGGGAGAGAAACTTTGCCAAATTACACAACAAATTGGCGAGCCAATTATTTTCTGAGGAAGAGGACTGGGAGGAGGGCACGTCTGACGTTCCGAAAGAAAGCAGCAGAGACGCCAAACTAAGTATATAGTAGTGGCACGAACCGCCGATATACATACTACATCCACACACGAGCCAGCCACACAACTAATTCGCATGATATAACCTTTGTTTATGGCAGACTATTGCATCGCTTTCGGCTTTTGTGCTTCCGCCATTCTGGCAAAGGCGCGTGTGGATTGCGTATTTTTCTGCAACCGCCAGACTAGTGGCCTAATCTTTATATATAGAACCACCACACCACCACCTGCAACTGCAGTTGCGTGGCTGGCTAGGCTTGATTATAAGTAGAGGATGGGGCCTAATCCGAGGATCACAGGGGTGGGTGATACCTATGACCTATTGCGATGACCCTACTTTCATTATTCTAAACTGCACATCATTAACCGTAGCTTAGCATAGTCCCAGATCTTGGAAAGAAACCCCCAGAGAACCCCAACACAACTAACCTATCCTCGTTTTGATCCTTGCAGTACCTCGACATTGGCGAGGATATGAACGTACCTGATGACTTCACACAGAAGGAGATGCAGACAGGCCTCTGGTGGCGGCACTTGGTAGCGGGTGGCATTGCAGGAGCAGTGTCCCGGACGTGCACAGCGCCACTGGACAGAATCAAAGTGTACTTACAGGTGAGTGGCTCAACCCCAAATATAAAATATAAACAAGATTCTAACGAAAACCCTCTCTTTCTCAAACCAGGTACAAACGCAAAGAATGGGAATCTCAGAGTGTATGCAGATCATGCTGAACGAAGGCGGATCACGGAGCATGTGGCGCGGCAATGGCATCAATGTCCTTAAGATTGCTCCCGAAACAGCTCTGAAGTTTGCCGCCTACGAGCAGATGAAGCGACTGATCCGCGGCGAGGATGCCAGCCGGCAGATGAGCATCGTGGAGCGCTTCTATGCTGGAGCAGCTGCCGGTGGCATTTCCCAGACCATCATCTATCCCATGGAAGTATTAAAGACGCGCCTGGCGCTAAGGAAGACTGGCCAGTACGCCGGCATTGCTGATGCTGCGGCAAAGATCTATAAGCACGAGGGCGCGCGAAGCTTCTACAGAGGCTATGTGCCGAACATCCTGGGAATCCTGCCATACGCCGGCATCGATCTGGCCGTATACGAGACCCTGAAACGACGATACATCGCCAGCCACGACAACAACGAGCAGCCCAGCTTCCTGGTGCTACTCGCTTGTGGCAGCACATCGAGTGCGCTCGGCCAGCTCTGCTCCTACCCTCTGGCCCTGGTGCGGACTCGGCTACAGGCACAAGGTGAGCAGCAAGGATTTTAGTTATAAACCCAAGATTGCTAATCGTTTTTTTCTTTCCATCTTTTAGCCGCCGAAACAATTGCCAATCAAAAGCGTAAGACCCAGATCCCTCTGAAGAGTAGCGACGCGCACAGCAGCGAAGAGACGATGACGGGTCTGTTCCGCAAGATCGTGCGACAGGAGGGTCTCACGGGACTGTACCGGGGCATTACGCCCAACTTCCTCAAGGTCCTGCCGGCGGTCTCCATCAGCTATGTGGTGTACGAGTACTCGAGTCGCGCCCTGGGCATCAAGATGTCGTGAGATGTTTCTGCCTTAATCTCGCTCCGAACGGGCTCGACTGCCGAGACCCTTGGCTGACCCCGTGCGCCCGTGTCCGTGTGTTTGCAGTGCAGACCGTTCCGGGCCGCGGCGGCAGCTACTGCTGTGCTCCATTTGTATAGTTGTAGTGGTAGGTTAAGTCGGGCGGCCCGCCACTCGCTCTCTACTACTTTCCTTAAGTGTAAACCGGCCTCTTCCATGTTCTGGGTTAAATCTATCCTTTTTAATTTATAGTTAAATTAGTTTGATTACTTTCTAAAAAAAATACAAAATAAGTGATACTATGGCTAATTTATTTCGTTCGCTAATTTAAGCGAAAAACAAGTGTTACAAACCCGCACGCGCCCACATCCTTCTTAGGCTATCCTGCGACCGACCTACCTGCAAGTAGGACCTAGGCCACTCTCTAATTCTTAAGTGCTAATTTATTTACATTTGTACGTAGGCTAAACTGCTATACCAGTGCAGTGCTATACCAAAAACAAAAACAAAAGAATGAAAGAAAAACAAAAAGAAAGCGGAACTGGCCATAAGAAAGTTTCCGAATCTGGATCCGTATCCGGTCGAGTGAGCAAGGCAGGCTGAGTGTGAGGAATTTCGTATCGAATCGATCGACGACAGCTTGTACACACGGAAAAAAGACATTAAAACTACGATGTACTCGTTTTTGCATAGATTCATTGGATTAAACAAATTAATGCGAAACACTTAACGTTTACAATGTGATGATAATAGTTTATAATATACATATATATATATACCTACTATAATACCGACTTGTACGCTTCGGAGCTGTCGGCGGCGAGGCTGAAACTTTTGTAGCATTTTATTTGTTAAGTTTAGTAACACTTTCTCTTAGATCGTATTGCAAATGAAGCCAACGAGATTAATTGTGACTAAAGCTAACAAACAAAAAACAAATCAAACAAACACATACACCATGTAATTTATTTTATATATATATACACATCATGTGAATCTAAAACACCCGACCCGAACTTCAGTTCAATCCTATTTTTTTTACACATTATAATGGTTCTGAATTTAAAAGAATGTATGTATAACTTGTAACCCTACTCTTAATTAGCCAATTGAATTTTGTACATCCTTAGTTAAATAGTGACTTTAAATATGATTTTTCATTATTCCTCCCAAAACTACCCATCAACGTTCATTTTACCTATTTAAAAGAAGTTTATCATTGAAAATCACGTAATAAATACAATAATCAAACTGAAATTCAAGCTACATGATTTTGTTTATGATTTTTGACATTAGTTCCATTGGATTTAGGACTTGGTCAAAGGGAACCTCTTGCTACGACCCAAATCGGAGTGCATAGTATAGAAAACTATATACTATAAATCGAATAAAAGTTTTATAAATTATTTGTTTCCTAGCGGATCTACGCACGAAGTTGTTTGACAAAGTCTAATCTTGCTAGTCCATGAATAAATCTTAGATTTAAATACAATTTAACACTAAATATTTAATGAAAATATATAATACAATATATATTTAAAGACAATTTTCCAGGAGAAAACAGCATAAGATACTTAAACTATTTAACATACGAATATATAACTTGAAATACTCGGATATACATATTGTTATATTTTTGTACGTTTAGCTAATTTTTAAATAAATTATTTAATGTGATTTATAAGCCCCAATTCCAGTTACAAAATAAAACTAATAATTATAAATGATGAGTGAGTTTCTTCTGGATCTACATCTTCGGGTCGTTAACATTTCAAAGGTCTCTTCCAATGGGTTTTCTCACAGAAATATTTTAGAAAACTTTTCGAAAATGTTTTGAAAAATATCGAAAGTGAACCACTAGCTATCGATTCGTTTGCGTGTATTTATGTATATTGCCCCAAACTGAACCATTCCGTCTATTTTTGGAGTCACATCATCCGCCAGCTGTTCCCGAATACTCAACGCCGTGTGGTGGTCAAAAAACGCGGACGGGAAAATATCTTCATTTATAAAATAAAAACTTCAATTTACATAATGGAGTTCGATCCGACGTACTACAATATCTGCTCCACCCGCACCGTCCAGTCGGAGAAGAGGGGCTTCTTCAACGAGTTCTGCGTGGATGTACGGGATGCCTGCGGCGACAAGTGGCTGCAAAACTACTTTGGGAAGCTGAAGTCTAACGCGGCGCGGGTGCTCTCCATCTTCAGCGACCGTGAGGTGTGCGATCCGGTTCTGGGGGTGCTGGAGCATGTTCAGCCGGTGTTCAAGCCGAAGGACGCCCTGTTCTCTGCCCAGCGACGTGCCCAGGCGGACAAACTGCTCCTCATGAGTAGCGAAGGGACTGTTGTGGAAGAGGCCGTCCGGGAGCTGCTCCAGCAAGCCCTTATGGCAGCCAATCTGGCTGTGATGCGGGCTCCGGACAAGAATGCGGACCTCTCCATAGATGATGGCCTATCGTTGGCCCTAGCTTACCGGTCGAGAGCGTCCATACTCATCCGTTTGGGCGAGGGGGAGGCTGCTCTCAGCGACCTCAAGCTGGCCACCAACTTTGGATTGGATCTGAAGGGCAGTGGAGACTACTACTGCAAAATGGCCAAGGCCTATGCAAGTGGGTTAATTCTAAGTGTTCTTGTATTTTACATTTAAAATTCTTTTCCCCCTTCAGCCATGGGTGAACCTGCCAAGGCCGAAATCTCCCTGAAGATTGCCGAAAAGCTCCCTGGTTCTGACTCCGGCCACATTGCTGTTTGTCGCCAGGAGATCGCTTCGATGAAGCCTCCTAAAAAAGAGTCATCCACGGAACAGCTTCCCAAACTAACACATGGTGAGAATCCTGAACTCAGAGGAGCTTCTAGGGTGGTTAAGCTGGTGGAGACGAAGGACAAAGGTCGCTTCGTGGTGGCGAGCGAGGGTGTGAGGACCGGCGACGTGGTTCTCTGCGAAGAGCCCGTGGCGGCTTGCTTGATTCCCAGCTATTTTGGAACCAACTGTCATCATTGTTTCAAGAGGTTAGTGAATCTGGGCCTTTTCTTGGACATTCTTTAATTTTTATTTTATCCGTAAGGTTGCACACCCCGGTGTCCTGTTTGCACTGCTCCGGTGTTGCCTTCTGCTCCGCCCAGTGCATGGGTGAAGCCTGCTCCAGCTACCATCGATTCGAGTGCGAGTTCATGGATCTTCTGATCGGCTCGGGCATGTCCATCCTTTGCTTCATCGCACTACGCATCTTCACCCAAGCCAAAAGCCTGGAGGATGGTCTGTCTACCGCCAATCTGTTGTTCGAACACCTGTGCTCCCACGAGGATGAGCGCCATGCGGAGGATTACTTGCAGAGGTCCCTGATGGCCGGCTTTTTGTTGCGCATCCTGCAGAAGTCCCTGTATTTCGGACGCCGCAAGACTGAAGGCGTGAATCCCACGGCCGTGGAACTCCAGGTGGCCACCGCACTGCTGGGGCTGCTGCAGGTGCTCCAGTACAATGCCCACCAGATCTACCAGACCCAGGTGACCGAGGAGCATCGGTTTGACGGCAGCAAGACGGTGTACGTTGGAGCAGGACTTTACGGCACTGGTTCCTACTTCAACCACGAGTGCTGGCCGAGGTAAGTAACTTAATAATACCCTTGAAACTAAATTTTATATTTCGGCTTACATTATTTAGTGTCGCTGGCCATTTTGTTGGTAAGAAGTTGGTGTTAACTGCCACCAAACCTCATCGTCCGAATGAGGTGGTGGCTGTGAATTATGGGCCAATTTTCATCAACATGAATCTCAAGGAGCGGCAAAGGTCCTTGCGCGGAAGGTACTCATTCAGCTGCAACTGCATGGCCTGCCAGGAGAACTGGCCACTGCTCCAAAAACTGGACAAGCAAGTGCGCTTCTGGTGAGTATTAAATCATAATTTTTATAAGTTTAAGGCAATAATAATGTCGGTTCTCCAGGTGCACTTCAGCCAACTGCGTTAATTTACTCAAATTCCCAAAGGACCTGGCCAAGGATGTGCGTTGTCCTCGCTGTCGGAAGAATATCTCTCTTAAGGAAAGCGTATCCAAGCTAATTAAAGTCGAGGAACTTTATCGTGAAGCCGCTCGCGCTATGGAGGAGCAAAAGACCCTTGAGGCCATCGAGCTTTTCAAGGAGGGCATTGAGATGTTCTTCCATGTGGCTGCCCTACCGCATAAAGACACCCTAGTGGCCCAGCAGTCGCTCCTGAAGTGCTTGTCGGATACTGGCACTACGTTCAAAAAATAGAACTTTTATTATATTGTTTTTTTCTAATTAAATACAAAATGAAGCCCATAAAGATTTAAAATACCCGCTTAAAATACTGTTAGACATCAGTGTTGGATAACGCTAAACAAGAGCTGCCAACCCGTATGGGCTCTATGGTTTCCCATCTCTAATTACAACTAGAAGTTCTTTATTTGTTTTGCCTTAAAAATGTTTAAAAAACTGAAGCCTGGTGAAAGCGAAGAAGATGTCTTACGAATGGCGGCCGAGTTCAATGCGGAGAGGGCCAAAAATCCGGGCTTTCAACCAGCTGCAGCATTTGTGAGAATGGATAAAGGTTTGTGCCGGTATTTCTTAGACAACCACATTGGAATGTTTTGTTTACGTTTGTTTTTCTTTGATTTTACAGCCCCCAAGAAGTCCATGTTTGCTCAGAGAAGGGAACAGGCCAAATTGGGACGTATTACATCTGCGGAAAGGACCCAACCGGAGGCGACGCACCAGGAAGCAAAAGAAATCAAGGAGAAATCAAGTGTCTTCAGGGAATCTGACTCGCAGGGCAGCTGTGGTCTTACAAACAAGGTGCTAATGGATGAGATCCAGGAGAACATCTTAGGAGACGTCAAGGGTACCAAAATGAACGCAAGATCGATAAGCAATGTCCTGGGTGACCTTGTAGAAAGACCTGTGGCTTCTATAAGACCCGTTTTGCCGGATGCTCCGCAACAGGTAAGTTATACTTAAAAAAGTAAGAATCTAAATCACATTACCATTCTATATTTTCAGAGAAACCCCAGCAAACCATTGAGTATTTTTGCCCGCCAAATGTTGAGTGAAAATTCCCCACAACCAAAAGATTCTTTGCGAACTTCAGAAGCCTCTAAAACGGTAGGCAGCTCTCTTATAAAAGATGCCAAAATGGCACAGGAAATACATGAGGAAAACCTTAATGTACTAAGCCAAATGAGCGAGCAAGACATTCTAGCAGAGCGGGAACAGTTACTAGCGTCTTTGGGTAAGCTACATGTCTCTTCAGTTCGATTATTTCTTAATTGTCTTGAACTTATCCTTCAGATCCATCGCTGATAGCTTTACTGGCTAAAAAACGACAAGCAAAAGACAAGCTAGTGGATAATAAGACTAGTCCCATAATTATAGAAGCGCCACCCCAGCCGCCAAAAACAACACAACCTTATTCTCAATCGATTTCATCTCTGCCTGAGTCAAATCCAGCTCTAGAACTTCTGCAGCAAAGTGACGAAGGTCAGTGGGTCAATTTTGGCCTTGTAGAAGAACACAAGCTGGCTTGGATGCGGGATATACCTACTAAGATGAAGGAACTGAAACCTGGTCAGCAGTTTGATGCAAGATTCGATTGGAAAGGAGTGTTATTGCCCCACTCGCTGCAGGAAGATCAGGCATCATCCAAGGCAGTGGACGACAGGGAGCTTTATCTACACGGCGAGGAAGCAGAGCGTCCTGGCTACACACTTCAGGAGTTGTTCCGCCTGGCCAGGTTGGTTTAGATCAAATATTTGAATACAGTTTTTCATATACATGTTTTCCAGATCCACTGTCTTACAGCAGAGAATCTCTGCCTTTGGCTCTATAGCTGGAATATTTAGTATTTACAACCAGGGTTTTTACGACCAGGTTTTGACCTTGCCAATATCAAAGATGTTCTTTCTGCTGCGCTATGGTCTGGATGACAACGCTCCCGCCCAGCTAGAGGTTGTGAGCCGAGCTCTAGCGAATTTGTTGTACAACGAAACGGATGAAGTAGTACTTGATAATGTCCACGATTATGCCTACTGCCATTGGCAGCCGGTGCTAAAGGTTTTGGAGAACGCGAGTGACGCAGAAGCCGATTCCGATCCCACTTCTATTGCCTTTCTCCAAAGCTATATGAAGCTACTGACCACCAGTCAAGCTGTGCGAGCCGATGTGGATGAGGATGAGGGAGAGAGTCGCATGTCCATGGACGATTTTCAGCTGGCGGAAACGGATCTGATAGATTGCCTTTTGAGAACTAACATTTTGCAAAGAATTAAGTAAGTATTTTATCGTTATGTTAGATTCAAACTAATGTTTGGTTCTTTAGGTTCATTTTAAACTCGGTTCGCCCGGATAATAGCACTGTGGAGTCTTGTCTGAAAGTACTTATAAGGATTGCCCGGACAAGTCTTAAGGTAGCCCGCCAGTTGGCCAATGAGAGCGATCTCCTAGAGATTCTCTTTCGCAATTTTTTGCCTTCAGGGAATGGCAACGGCCAGTTTTATGGACAACCTCAAGTACTTTTTCTGAAACTGATTCGAGTATTGGTCTGTCAGCATCTGGATATAGCAAAGAGTCTCGCGAAGGGAGTGCTAATCCAAAGACTTCAGCAATATTTGTTCCTTCAGGATACCAAGGTTTTATTATATTTTTGTCACAATTGGGAATTCCGTTAAACTGAATCTCTTTGACAGGCCCGGATGGTTCGCGTTCAGATCGAGTCTCTGAGAATCCTGCGCTGCTTTTTGCTTCTAGGGATCGTGGATCGGGATGTGTTCAGGTACGTAGAAGCTATTGCTATCCAATCATGGCAATTATCTCGTCCATTATAAATGGTCTGTTCACCTCCAGATAACATTTTACAGTTTCATAGGCGATTTCACAGCCATCTTTGCCCTCTGAAATTATTCCAATAGATATTTAAGGCTACTACTTTGTTTAAATGTTTGACCTACGTTTAGTGCCACATTTTCCGACTAGTTCGTTTATTTTATCATGATATTCCTCCGGCAAGACTTCGTTTAAGGACTCTATATGCATAACGTTTTGAGAGTCCATCTGTGGAGATTGAGATGATATATTATTCTATTATATTTTTATCTTTGGAGCTAGTACCAGTCCAAACATGTCAAACATGCAGTGTAAGAAGCACTTAAAGGCCGGATCGTGCAGCATAACTCTGTCCTTTTGAGCCTGATGCAGCATTACTGCGAGTAAAATATTTTTAAAAGTGAAATATATTTCAAAAGGGAGCTTCACACTTACCATCGTCTGCTCCAGTCTGATTAACACATCTTGCATGCAGTTTTCTGACTTGTTTTAAAATCGCAGGACTAATCTGAAGCGCAGACTGGCTGATGGAAACAGAATCCCAAACGACAAGAAGTGCAATCAGTAGACTCAAGTTTCTGGTAGCCATTGCATCCAGTAGATAATTTTAAAGTCGAACTGAACTTTGTTTGAAGACTGTGCTATTTTATATGATACTACAACTCTTTTTATAGCCATACGGTTAGCTAGCTGGGTGGAAAATAACTATCATTGCGATTTGTTTGAGTGACATCTCAATCGTTACAGGCAGTTCCTGCCCGCACTTCGCCAGCTACTTGACTGGCACACCAATCATTGTGTGTTCGAAGGCGTGGGCGGATCGGGGCTGGTGCGCCAACACGCAGCAGCTCTGATCGTGGCGCTGGTGGCCAGCGGAGAAAGCGGAGTTTGTGACCTCGAGGGGCAGAAGCTAGTCGTAGAGCCGCTCAACAACTGCTGCTGCAAGTGGTTGCACGCTGCCACGCGCTCCGAAAAAATCAACGATGTGAGTAAACTTATAAACTAATCACATAATGCCTAATTATCAACCCGTCATTCTAGTTCAGCCAGATGACCCTTTTGAGTGCCGTGTTGTATGCCGCTTCTTGGTTCTCCCGTAATGGCTATCTGGGCACTACCAGCTTTCAGACTTTCCTGCGCAGCATCCTGCCGAAATTCGTTCAGTCGCCTAGCTTTGTGGCATGCGTACAAGACCTGGCGTGAGTTCCCACCTAGGCAACCATTAAATAAATTTTAATTACCATTCTCCAGTCTAGGTTCCGTAATTCTGAGACGCCCCATGGATCGGCGACACGTGAACGCGGCGTTGCCTAATATGGGAGCAGTGTTGATGCACGACTACGGGCCGCAGCTGATCGTCAGTGAGTCGTATCCGGTGCATCTGTTGAGTAATCTCTGGGCCCTGCTCGTTGTTTCCCTGGAAGGTGGTGGAGTTATCGAGAATACATTGTTTACGGCCCTTATGCAACCGGCGGTGCTGGAGCCGTTAGCTGAGTATCTGCGACAACTAGGCCTGCGACTCAATCGGGTTCTGGCCACCAACTTTTTCGCCCGTACTGAGCTGAGATTCGTCCACCAACTTCTGACGACGGATGGCCTGGAGACCTACTTGGAGCGCCCGCAGCTGTTGCAGTTGGTGTACAGCTACCTCTGTTGCCTCTCCACTGCCCATGCCACACAGATTAAGAGCACCTTTGAACGGTTCATCTTCAATGGGGAGTATGTGGAATTGGATGAAAAGAGTTTGAAACTCTTGGAGCAAACCTGTCTGGAAATGGTGTATCCCCACATCATAGCTGTGAGTTTAATGAAGTTCATTATTGATTATCACTCTCATGGTTTCATGAGCAGGACAACTCGGAGCCCTCCCTGTCGCTGTGCTACACTCAAGCTCCCATCCTTCCAGCCGACTGGCCGTTCTTCCAGATGCGCCTCATCCTCAGCAACTACCTGCAAAATGTGCAGCAACGACCAGCTGCCATATACTCAGGTAAAAAAGCTATTCCTGTTTGCAGACTCGTTGATGTTTATTTTTCCCTCCAACAGAGAACCAAGTCGTCCGCATGACATTGACTTTCGTTCGGCAACTAGAGCGGCAGGGACTTCAGATTGTTAGTCCTCTGGAGAAGCTTATGTATCTAATGATAGCCTTCATGGGTCCAGATTCGCAGTTTTTGGATCCAGACTTGCACGAGTTGCTAGCCGATTACCTCAAAGACTTTAACCATCAGAATGCCAATCATCATTTCGACTTTGATGCTGAGCTGGTGGACAAAGCTCGGTTCGAGCCACTTTATTACCTGTTTGTGGAGCACTTTGAGGCGGCCAGTTACGGCGACGAGCTCTTCAGTTCTCTGGTGCTCCTGCCCCTGGCCCAAAAATACGACAACAAGTGGCGCAGGCGTCTCTGGTCGGAACATGTGCAAGCTGTGCGTTTTCTAAACTGTGATGAAGGCCTGGTAAGTGAAGTGAAACATAAACTAAACGAATTTCTGTTGAACCTATACTTCTAGTTGATGGGAGGCCTTTCCGCCTATTTGAGTCCCGTGGAGAAGGAGCCCTCATTGGTGCAGCTCTATGGTGATGCACTGGAACGTCAACTGGTTCGTCCTGGCAGCATAGCCTTTCGAATAGCCCAGTACCACTTTAACAACTCCAAGGCAGTGTATAAAACGAAATCTTTTTGATAATCTCGACCATTAATGGCTGATAGCTGTAAGAGGCTCTTCAAGGCTTCTGCCCAAACTGCGATAAAGATATTCAATTTGGCAATCCAGTCTTTAAATGTGACAATGTTCTATTTTTGTATTTCGATTTGTGTGCTACCCTATTTTGAAAAGCAAAGTAGTCGAACTTATAAAACTCGTGATCTTCGAAATTAAAGTTGTATTTTTTCGAATGGTAATTCGTATGGTTTCGGTTATAAAACTATTTGTTTTTGTGATTATGACTTGTGGATCTTATGTTGCTTAAAATTAATGTCAAGTTTTAAATTGAATTTGAAGTAAGTGAGTATAGCTTATTGTTTTTCGAGACTGACAGCGGTTTACATGTAATTAGGCCCTGGGGCTTCGATTGGCAGATCATTATTTTAATGCACTTTGCCGAAATAATAAGTTTCGGGGGTTAGGCTGGTAGTTTTCCCTATTTACGTAATGGTGCGTTGTTTAATTACGCCAAACTGCCCAAGGCAGGCTGTCCCTGACAGAGCATTTCGCTATCAGGCCCAATTAATTAACATCATTTGACTTATTGACACATGGGCCACGACAACGGTGACTTGGTGCCTCCTTGGCTATGACTGGATGTGGATGTGCCTGATAAAATATATGTAATTAAAACGAACACAATTGAGGGGCCAGTGCTAATTAAATCATTTGATCTAAGTACCCGTGCATGTGTCTGTTTTTTGTTGTTTTCCCCAATTCATCTTGAGTAGCACCCACTGACTCTGGTACGACATGTCATGCGACGTTTGTGTGGCACATGGCGTATGTGCAACATTGAGCCGCATAGCCCGACGACTCTCGCATGATTTACACCCGTTTGTCAAGATTACCAGAGTCTACTAGGTGTGAGGCCTGATAATTGCCATAAAATAGACGTTAATTGTTTGATAATTCCTAGGTATGAGGTCCGTCGGTAAATGTTTGCAGAAGGCCTCATAAATTTAAAGAGCGCTAATCTGTTAAGTTCACAGAAATTAAAACTCGATCGATTCGGCTATAAATAGTGGATGTGTGAAATCTATTAGTCCCAACTTGATTGCCACTTGAAAGCCACAATTGATATTGAAATTACCTCCTTATCAGAGTCCTCATTAAAGCTTAATCATTGCTTTATTTAAAAAGGATTGCCATTACAATTTCATATTTTTGCAAAATTACCAAAAGTATATACATAGCTTTAAGTTATTGACTTTTTACGAACCTGTATCGACCATGGTTTGGTCTGATAAACCTTCAAGGTTTCCAAATGTAACCCACTGCGAGGGTTGTAGGCCATCCGGAGTCGCCTCTTATCACCAACGATACGAAATTGCAGATAGCGAGCTATATTCGATATTATTCAATACGACTGTACTGTTTAATAAAGAAATATATAGTCTCTATCGCAAATATTTGCATACCTTGCACTTCACACTGTTTTTAGATTTGATTAAGCACTTGGGAGACACTCCTTTAGTTTTTCTCAAATATTTGACAATATTATTTTGATTTCTGTCAGTCGTGTTCTCTAGGGCTTTTTTTTTGTGCCGATCTTGAACATAAATTCTTTGGAATTAATTATCTCAGTTTGTTAAACCGAAACGTGTTTACCCTTTGGCAAAAGATACAATATCGAAATCAAGATACGTTGATATTCAAATCCAATTATTCATAATGCCCGAAACATGTTTAGCTTTTGGAGAATATTTTCGAGAGGAACTCATTCAATTCAATGATCGTTGGAGTCGTTACAAGGGCTAGATAAGAATATCGTATCTGTGTTTTCTGAACAAGTATGAATAATTTTTAGTAAATATTATTAGTCTTGGTGCCTCACGCTCGGCATGAGTCAGCAGTCTTGGAACTCATTATATTCTCCGGCATGAATTCTCCAGGGTATGAATTACACTTTTCAAACAGTTGTAAGGGTACAAAAGCCACCACCGAACCGGAGAGCCACGAGAGCTACGTCATCGTCGTCGTCCCACTCACACAGATACTCCAGCCAGTCTCGGGCCGTCAGTCTGTGCTTGTCGTGAAATTTCGTGGTGCATGTTGGACGATCGCTTGAAACCATAGTGTCAGTCGCTCGCCGACGATCAGCAGTTTGTGCCACGTTTTTTAGAAACGTACTCTATCCCAATTGCTAGATCGCAGAACGCCAGGCAGCCGCGTCTGGATATGGTTATTTTCGGTGCTTCATCGCTCCCCAAGGAATATACATATTTATTTATTTTCGAATCGGAACAACAGGCCCTTGGGGCAAGTGTGCAGATACAGAAGCAAAAAGTAAATATATACATAAACACACGAGTGGTATCTGCAAGATACAACAACGAGGCAAGCGGCCTTAGGTGCGGCTGATCACTCAAGCCAAACGCGCGCGCTTCTCTGGAACCCAAATAATTAGCCCCAAAAGCGTTTCTACCGCTTGTTTTTAGTGCAAGAAAGCGGAACATCGCCTGAAATTGCATCGGGGTAATGCAAATGAAACGCCGATCAAGTGCCCTTTTGTTCAGTTCCATTTGTTTATGTGAGAGACAACTTTGGGGGGAATTTCGAGTGGGGGTCTTCCACCAAATCGAGCGGTTCAAGCAGTGCTGATAATAATAATTACTTCCCCGGCCCTCAGTTGGACTGAGTTTTTCAGTTTCGGATTTCTCTGGCGCGGTATTTGGTATTTACCGAACGGCTATTAAGTGTAAATTTTGTGTGCCAGTGAAAAGTGAATAATTTTAAGGCGAATGAGCCTAGATAATTCATTGATTACCTGCCGGTTGGAATTTTTAATTTTTACTGTTTTGGTGAGTTCGTGAATGGCCTGAAAAAATTTCAATTTTTGTATATTCTTCGCTTTCCGCCAGCTGTGTGGCTTTTGTTTATCTTCGTGGCGGTTTTTGCTACTGCGGAGTGGAGCTGTGGGGTTTCTTGGGTCTATGGCTTTTTTTTTTTTTGTAATTTAATAAACCCCACTGTGGTGCCTTCTAATCATCGTCGGTAACCTCGCCAACCTGGCCAAATTTAATTATGAAAGCTTTTAAAGTAAATTCCTCGAAATACCCCTCTGAGAGGTTGCCCACTTTAGTGGGTCAAAAACGTGATCCAGAAACTCTAGGTTATCAGATTGCTTTCCCTGGATTTCCTGCCCCAGCACTTGCACGCAACTCGGTTTGTGTATCTCTGGCCGTTAAGTGATTGCCATGCACTTGAACTTGAAAGCCATTGCTGGTTTTCCGGGTCCGGTCTGGGATTAAATGGGCTAATAACTCAACGGTATATGTAGTCAACAATCTTCCATGTAAGAGCATGTAAGAGAATCGTCCAACTGGATTGCGGTCAGTTGCATGTTATAGTTTGTTATTCAATAGCCGAGCTCATATTCTATGAGCTATGAGAATTCCTTCTTCTATGAGTTATTTCGAGACTGATAACGAGTCGCTTCAGATGTCGCCGTATTTCAAGTACTTTATTCAATTAGTTGTCAAAACTATTCATGAATAATTGCTTTCCATTTTAAAGGTGTGCTTCCGTAATCCCTAAATATTATTCAAACATAATGACTAAGATCTATTAGTCGCTTAAAAGCCGTGAAAAGTAAAGGTTTCGTGGGAACTGCAGATTAAACAGTCAACTGAAATATCACATTTCTGTGTAAACCTAAAAGATGAATTGCATAACTGGGAACCTGTGCAAATAAGTAAAAAAAAAAACCCCCGAGACCCGAGACATTTGGGTTGAATGCAGCTGCAGAAAAGGCCGCATGGCAACCGAATCCCAGGACCCAGGGTTGCTCCTTTGCCACCACCCCGAGGCGCTGAGTCCCATCGCGGTCGACATTTATGGGGTTGCATTTGAAGGTCGTGGCCTATATATGTACTCACATAACTGGATTCCACGGGGCTCCGGCGCTGGCTATGGCTCTGGCTCTGGCTGAGCCTCAGCTGGTCGCTGTCAGAGCGCATAAAAGTGAATAGAATGGAAGGGGGACACATGCCCCGATTAACTTGTCCATTTGCCAAACCATTGACACACGAACGACTATGGACTAATGGAAATGCAACTCGAATTGTCACTGGCTGCTCCCCCTAATGATTGCCGACGGTGGGGCTATGGCGCTACCTGACAGCCCCAGGCTGATCCAAGAGCTTAGCCTGTCAGCCGCAGCCGCAGCCACAAACAAAAAGAATATAAAAACCATTCCATCCAGCTGACGGAGAAAGAAAGTCTCTCTACGAACTGAGATCACAACAGAACAACGGAATAAACTAATAAATCATTGACCTTGCGAACCTTGACAAAGCGACTGACTGGGTCTCCCGAGTCGGGGGCTCGAGGCTTCCACCGAAAAGTGCATTGATGCCACTTGATGACTAGACGACGACAGCCTGCACTCGAAATTATGGATGGTGCTTCACCAGAAGAGCTTCATCACTTTAAGGGAATACCGCGTAGCTGGCCAAGTTCAAAAATTTTATTACCAAAAACATTATTCACGTTCTTTAAATGGAACAGAGCTACATAAAATGTTTCGTCATATCTTACAGCGGCGGAAAAACCTCCTATCAGAGCTATTAATAAATATGATTTATGAAACACACTTTATCGAAGTGATAAATAAATCTGCTCCCATATATTTCATTTTGATACACAGTTTATTAAAAAAAGAGACTTCAGTCTGAAGAATTTGAAAAGGAAGCCGAAGAATTCTCGCAGTGCTAGCCCACTGCGGAAATGGGAAGGGGATCGGGAATAAGACTTAGAATGAGAATCAGAGTCGGAATTGGAATTGGAATTGGAATGGGAATGAGTATATGAGTATATGAGCATACGAGTGGCACGGATGGAAATTATGCAAGGCGCAACGTCAAGTGGCAAGCGGCGGTTGCGGTGCAGCCAGTAGACGGTAGTCGGTAAACGTTGAATGGCGAACGGTAAACGGCGTTGACAATTTTCACCTTTTGCCTTTCTTTTTGTCGCTTTTGTCTTTCCACGTTTAATCAAGATTTATGGCAATTGGCCGGGCGATTGCCAGTGCGATTGTGAGTGCTAGAGCTATTACGGATGCGTGGGCGGATGGGCCAGCAAATGGGCGATGGGCGATGGGCAATGGGCGTGTGTCCGGCGGAATTCTTTTGCGTAAGAAACTCAAAAAGTCAGTAATCAAAGTGATGTCTGCGGCTGACCCCCACGACCCCTCCGAATTTCCATAAATTGAATACGCTTTTAATTTGAATTATGTATCCGAGGTGGCCTTTGTGCATCAGCATTAAACAAT